TATATATATCCATACTGGAAGTCTGGAAATACTTTAGTAATGTGTATATATTGGGAAGCATTTTGGGATTTTGGTAGTGTATGTACTTTTGTATGTGCAGTTATACATGCAAAGATCTTTGTTGTTAAATTCTTCCTAAGACTGAAATATGCTTAAAATAATAACATCTACAAATGTTTATAGAATACTCAAAATAAAAATGCTACTTTAGATTCCTAGAGTAGGATGAAATAATAATATTGCAAAACAGCCAAGGTGTGATTCTGGTAACTAGTGACATTTTGCCTCGAGCTTTTTAGAAGTTAATGTTAAAAAGCAAAGAGGTGACCTTCCCTGGTGGCGCAGCTGGCTAAAGCACAGCACTGAGGAGCTAAAGCCATTTCTGCATGAGTTCGATTCCCGCTTGCCCGGGAGGTGACCACATGGTGCGGCAGACCTCTCCTGACCAGCCCGCTGCTCCCCTCAGCAGTGTACTTCATAGATCGGCCTGTTCTGCTCCCCACTCTGTCTCTGGTGAAGTCTCTCACCGCCCCTGAGCCTCTGGCCTGTACCCCAGTTCTGTATGCACAAATAAAAATCTTTAAAAAAAAAAAAAAGCAAAGAGGATTTCATAGACTTGCAGTGGAAAAAAAGACTATTCATTTTTCAAGCAGAAGGTTTTGCATGCCACTATATTACATAAAGCTTTTCCCACATGGATCTTTCTTTGGACAGCAAAAGATTATTTTTGCTCTATTGTGTTTGTACATTTTTATGTTGGCTTTTAAGTGCATAAATTGAGGGAAAGCATTTCTGTTGGAGAGCCAAGCGAATAAAGCCAATAATATCTTTGAGAACTTATAGAAATAGATGGTTAACAGACTTCAGGGTGGGTTTTTTAACTTCCTTTGGTAATTCCTTTCATAATCTTAGCCCAAATAATGTAGCTCTTAGACAAAAATAAACCCTGGGTCTAGAGTTGCATCTTTACTGCCCCATTCTCTCCTCCAGAATTGAAATGTCAAAGGATGCACTTCCTGAAAAGGCTTGTCAGTTGGATAGTCGCTACTGGAGAATAACCAATGCTAAAGGTGATGTAGAAGAAGTTCAAGGGCCTGGAGTAGTGGGTATGTAACCTAAATTATGGGTCACTATTGTCAGTTGATTGTAAGCATTTTGGAGAGTCATGTATGTGACACAAATATAACAGCTTGGAATATGTGTGATGTAGTTAGTGGATAAGGCTTATCTTATTAATTGTTGTCTTTCCAATATGAAAGATATCTTAAATGCTGGAATTTATAAATATAATGCTGGACATCATAAATATAATGTGCAAATGTCATTAACCTATCATTTTAGAATTTTAAACATAAACTTTTCTAAAATTGTAACAAACTTAATTATTCAGGGATTGATTTTCCATTCTAGGTACTATCTACATTTTTTTGCTTTTCTTTTTTAAGCTAATTTACGTGTTGTTGGATAATTATTATCCTATAGAACAGAATGCAAGGCATAGGGCAAAAAGAAAATAAACTTTATGTTTTTGAAATTTGGAAAAGCTAAAACTAATCACACAGATTGTTATTGTTTATGAATTTCACTCATCTCTAGTTTTGATTACCATAACATTTGACCTGTAAAAAGTGATTATTTTACGTTTCTGAACTTCTTTGACTTTTGCATGTGAGCTTCAGGATGTTTACGCTATGTACTTCTGCTAGCTGAGCCTATGCAGAATTCAGTATAAATTAAAGTTGTTCTAATTCACTATCACATATAGATATATATCCTATATATCTAAGGATCTTCTTCCTGAATTTGAGGACTCTAGTGCTAAGGAATTTTATTAAAACTCTTCTGTCATTTGTCCCACTGGTATAAGAACACTGCCTCCTGACTGCCCTTTTGTCCAGACTAAATGTTTAAGATGCTTCTTCAGAATTTTATGTTTCATTCTTTTGTTACTTTTAAACAATTAGCTTGTCCTTCTCTCTATTTGAGCTAGTTGTCTATGACACTTTTTATTGCCCAGGTCTTCAATGCCTCAAAGCATTTTGAAAGTGAAAATATTTTTTTGATTTTGTTTTAATTCTGCTAGATATTCCTCCCATACCCAATTAGAGAGAGTTGGGGAATAAAAAGAGTGTGTGTACATAATCCTATAATGTTAACATTTTGTTATATATCCTTTTAGATTTTTTTGTAATTGTGTGTTTATTTTAAAATAATGTACATATCTTACTGTAATGAAAGACTGAATTTTATGCTTTGATTGTGACTGATTTCGCTGCAGGTGAATTCCCCATCATCAGCCCAGGTCGGGTATATGAATACACAAGTTGTACCACCTTCTCTACAACATCAGGATATATGGAAGGATATTATACCTTCCATTTTCTTTACTTCAAAGACAAGATCTTTAATGTTGCCATTCCCCGATTCCACATGGCTTGTCCAACATTCAGGGTATCTATAGCTCGGTTGGTAAGTTAAATTTTCCTCCAGTACTGATTTATATGACTTTGTAGAATTAACTCACAAGGGTCTTTATTATTTATTAGCCAAATAAATAGTCTATAAGGAATGTTTCAGAGAAATCTACTAGAGATTCCGAGGAGTATCTTGGCAGGGAGGGAAGGGTATAAATATGCTAGGGAATTTGGGCAGTAAGTAAGTTAGCAAGGCCCCCTTGGGTTTCACCTGACTTATTTTTTAATGTTAGTGGGGGTGTGTAAGATATAGGCCTAGGCTGTTGTTCTTAGACCTTTAGCCTCATAACCCCTCAAATTCTTAAAAGTTACTGAGGAGCCTCCTTGGTGGTATGGAGGTTTAAGTCTCAGGGCTGTGAAGCTGTTAGCTGCCAGCCAGGGAGCTGACCACATGACTCAGCAGACCTTTCTTGTCTCACCTGCTGCTCCCCTCAGCAGTGTATTTCAGCAGATCTGCTTGTTCTGCTCCCCTCTCTGTCTCTGGTGAATCCTCTCACTTTCTGCATCTCTGGCCTACCCCCCAGCTATTGTATGTGTGTACAAATGTAATTTTTTTTAAAGTTGAAACTTTATTTAAAAAGAAAGTTATTGAGGGCTCCAAAGAACTCTTGTTTATGTGAGTTGTATCGATATGTATCATACTAGAAATTAAAACTGAGATATTCTACAATAGCTACTTATTTCAAAAGTTTCTTTAAAATTCTTAATTTTAAATCACAGTAATAAATAAACTCATACATGTTCAGTCCTGTCTTAACTATGTTCTTACTTACTGAGTTGTTTTTCCTCCCAAAACACAAATGAGCATATAAAATCTTGAACTGCTTTGCATAAAAAGTTTTATCAAAGATGAGAAATCAGTAAAAAATGAGAACTGGAGACTTATTCCTAATCAATAGGAAAGAGGTGGGAATTATATTTGGATTGGATTGCTTTTCTTGTCTTTTCTTGTTTAAAAATTTGTTTTCTTGATGTGGAATTGAGTTGTTCTCCATTTTTGTTTTTAACCATTTGATTAATTAATAGAATTGATTTTCTTTTGCTTTGTATTTCAAATGCCACTTAAAATATAATTTTAGTTGGTCTTAAAATGGTGTGTTCTTTGTTTTGGGACACTTAAGAGGTTCCTGCAGCTTATGTATTTCCATTTTTGTCCATGTCTTCCTCTTTCCATCTGTATTTGTGTGTATATATTTTTAATGTGACATCATCAGTATGCTCCCGCTAGTCACTGATTAATAGTATTTCAGTTTCCTTCTTCATTAAAATAATAATAATACTACCTAGATTTAATGTTTTAGAATTTCTAAACCTTTCTCCTCTCCCACTTTTGGATCTTCTACTCAGTTTTAAAATCTACATTTTTGATGTCAAAAAGCCCAAAAATAAAAAGTAATAGAATGTCTTTTATGTTATATTCATCAAGTGGTAATAAATGCTCTGGTGAAAAACCAGAGTAAAAGGGATAAGGAGCATCTTGTTGGGTTATTTTAATATAAGGGTGTCAGAAGGCCTGAGTGACATTTAATTGAAAGAAGTAGAGGGAACTAGGTGGATTTGTGGGAGAAACTAGTCCATGCGGAAGTCATGCAGCACGGATGTGCTTGTGTTTTGAGAAATGGAGGGAATCTAGGTTAGCTGGGAGTACAGTGAACCAAGGGCAGAAGGTGGCAGATGAACCAGAGGGGAAAGGGTGCTTTGTCATCAGAGACCCCGTGGGAGGATGCAGCTAACATCACATCCCATCCAGATCACCCCCCACTACCAGCTGGGTCCGCACTGCTGTTCACAATGTTGTTTACTATAGCAGCGCACTTCATTGAATCTTCAAATATGTGAGGGGAAAATGACAACACAGTAAGTGAAGACCTGATTAGAGACCCTGCTTAAGCATAGCTGCAGTTTCTAAGAGATGATCAGGTATTGTATGTCAGGGTCCTTCAACAAGTTATTTTTTAAAGTAGATAATACCCAATGCAGTTGAACTGAAATAGGACTTTAGGAGCTCAATAAAAAATTTTAGACATCTTGTTGACAGTACATAAAAGCTGCCAGTAGGGGTCATACCTTATTAATATTTTCACTTCATCTTTTCTGTAGGTATACACATTAATAAAGAACTGTTACTTAATGAATGCACTATCTGTTAAATTCAGTAAAATTTCTTCTTGGGTTGTTAGTAGTGATAAATTTGCTAACTTGTATGAATTACCATGTAAAAAATAGGTTCTGTTTTAATGATATCTTTACCATTAAAATTACATTGATGGGCCCTCCCTGGTGGTGCAGCAGGTTAAAGCACAGCACTAAGAAGCTAAAGCCACTTCAGCACGAGTTCCATCCTCCGGGTGATCCACATGGTGCAGCAGACCTCTCCTGACCTGCCCACGGCTCCCCTCAGCAGTATCATATGAGTAGATCCTCCTGTTCTGTCCCCTACTGGTGAATCCTTCTCTGGTGAATCCTTTCATCCTCCTCACATCTGTACCCCAGTTCCTGTATGCATAAATAAATAAATCTTTTTTTAAAAAAGTCTACATCGAACATTTTTAAGCCTGTGGTAGAATATATGCTGTAGAAACACGTATCCACATATGCATTATAAAAATGTGATGTTTGAGTCTATAAAAGTTCATAATTGGTATATCTGGTTTAGATTCTGGACATACAAGAATTTGCATTAAGTCTAAAAAACTGGTGGTTCTTACCAAAATTTTTTCTCTTTCAAGGAAATGGGCCCTGATGAATATGAAGAAATGGAGGAGGAAGAAGAGGAGGAAGAGGAGGAAGAGGATGATGATGATTCAGCAGATATGGATGAATCTGATGAAGATGATGAGGAAGAGAGGCGGAGGAGAGTCTTTGATGTGCCCATTCGCAGACGCCGCTGCTCTCGCCTTTTTTAGCAAGCCTCTGCTGATGGGGCACTGGAATGAATCCAGTCTGTTACATAGATTTCTCAATAATGTAAATAAGTAAATTGTTCTCAGCATATCGCAGGAAAACTAGCATGAAATATTGTTCTGGGCCTGGGTTCTTTGCAACACTACATTAGGAATTGGATTATTTTGGTTTTGCTTTGTGTTTTTGAGGTAGAAGAAGAAATGGGAGTGTTTTTTTTTTTTTTCCTCTCTCTCTCCTAGAAGCCCATGGGAGAATATTTCTTTAGCTAAGAAACAGACATTTCTTTGTTTTAAATATTTTGTACTTACAAATAGTTGAACATGGGAGGGAATTGTTTTGAAAAAGGATTTAAAATGTAGCAGGAATACCTACACAAGGGTAGAGAGAAACTATGTCACTGATGATCCTGTGACAAGACTTCTTACAGTGTGAGTTATTTAGAAATGAACAGAATTTGTAATTAGGCTAATCCATTTAGTGATTCCTATATATTTTGTACTCACAGGGAACTAATTGACTAAATAACTTGAATGCTAGTTGTTTGTCCTTTCTTAGACAATCTATCCTTAAAGTTTTCATCATTACAACTTTGAATTTATGACCTTGACTTTGAATTTAGTCTTCAACTCTATGAACCTTGAATTTAATTTAAAGTCTTCAGCACTATGATCTTGAACTTAAAGTCTTCAATACTAGGTCCTTTGTTACATTGTTCACAGATGTATCATTTTTGAAATGTAGTGTGTAAAAGTATGTATTGTGTTGTTTACTAACAAAAGGTTCTATACCATGTCTCATGTAGTCTGAATTTGTAAATACTGCTTCTGTTTTGTTTCTCCTTTATACACTTGACTGTCTTAACTTTGTGATAAGTGACATGAGTTTTATGTTTTCCTGAAACATGGATTTTTTGGTAATTATATAATTGAGAGTTTGGAATGAAATTCACCAAGTGTCAAAAACTCACATTTTAACAACAAATTTTGGTTCCAATCTTGCATTTTGTATAATTGCCTATTTTCCATAAATGAATGTTAATATGCCTTTGCTCTTATAATGGAAGATGAGAGTGTTATTTGTATACCTGTTGCCAGATGCCCATTCAAAGTCATTATACTGTCATGCAAACCACCTCACCACTACCCCAGGGCAGTTCTTTTGTAGGGAAAACTAGTAAGAGTAAGTTATGTGCAGGATTAAGCAGCTACCATCAACCACCATGAAGGTTAACTTATGCCTTTCATATTGACACAAGTCAGAATGTTCTGAAATGCAGTAAGCTTTTCTTGCATATATTTTTTTAAGTGTTATCAGGCTACCAAATCCTATCATGCCTATTCCTTTTTTCCAGTCAACCCAATTTTCCCAAAAAAAACTATCTCAACGGCCTAGGATCACTTGCCACTCTTTGCATCTCTCTTTTTTATGCATGGGACCTCTTCTCATTCTCAGTTCCTGCAGTGTTCATGGTGCCCCCCCCCCAAAAAAAAAGACTTCCCTTGCAGCCCTTGTTCCTAAAATGCTTCAAGGTCGCTTCTCATTTTATCAGAATTCTCAACATCTTAGTGTGTTGAATGCGTAATCTCTAGTTGACAGTCATGTTGATAACAAGCACAAGTGTTGGCAAGAAGTGAAAAGGATCCTTACATAAAAGGGATCTAACAGTTGGCTAGAAAATACCTTTGATAGATGCAGGTTATTTCTGGCTTTTAGATCCTTTGGGAACATCACCCATCTTTTACTCATTTGTCTAAAGTTGATAAATCAGTTATGATATGACATATCAAATAAACTGTAGCTTAAACAGCTTAGGGCCTCCTCATGAAAGTCAGTGGTAGCTAGTTCAAGGCTGGTATGGTTAGTGGTACAGTGGCATGCATCAGCATTCCAAATTCCTTTTGTCTTTGTCCTGTTAACCGTAGCATAAGCTTAGCCCTTAAAGGCCACCTCATAGTTAAAAGATGGCAGACACATTCTAGGAAAGATGATGAGAAAAGGGGATAATTAGGTGGAAAGTAAAATGTTCTGATTAAGACAAGAGAAATAAACCAGCTGGAGTCCAGCAGTCATGTTGAGGGGTCACGGGAGGCAGGAAACAGCATGGAGCCCAAGTAAGATGCTGCAAAAGGCCTGAGTTAGGGCAGTAGCAGGAGCAAAGTGAAGGGGGGATGAAATGGAGACATGTAGATGATGAAGTAAACAACTGGTGATTAAATATAGTTGGAGAAATCAAAGTTGATTCCCATCAATTATGGCACAAGAGTTTTTCAGGAAAAGCAGTTGAACATTGGAGGTTAGTCAGGTTGGACACATTGTAAGTTCAGGATTTCTGGGGTATATAGGTGGGAGATGTCCAGTAATCAGATGTAACTTACATGAACATGCAGACCAAATTCTGTTTTGAGAATAAAGATTTGCAAATCTGCAAACACATCCCCAACAAAGCGGATGCCCTATAGTCGCCCAGGGAGCACACAGAACAATGATAGTCTGACTCTGGGAACGCCGGATTATGAGTGAATAGTGACAGACAAATCCAGATTGAAAGGTGAAAACTGGAAGCAAAACCAGAAGACTAGCATTTCAGAATCCACAAGAATTTCAAGGAAGGAACAAAAAATTGAATATATAAGATAATACATGTGAAAGCATTTATCAAGTTATCACAGCAAATGCAAATATTAGCTGTTGTAAAAGGATACAGCTTAAACCAAATCCAATTTAAGAGACTCCCATTTGTACAGAGGAAAACCAACATTTTGGGTCACCATTAAAAGCAACAACAACAAAAACATTCTCTGACATTCATTCCCAGGCCACCAGAGATCATGGTAGAAGATACCTGTCATGACCAGTTACATGAGTCTCTGCAGGTATTTCAGTTATGTTCTATGGCATGCGTTCATTTGTGCCCTCCCAGTACCACGTAAGTCCTTAAGGCAACACGCTGGAGTGTGGTGGGGTCCTCACAGAATTTCTCAGTTAAAGACCAGTACTTTGGGCCTGTTGTTCCCCGCTCCTTTCCGTGATGCACCTAAGTTTCTACTGTGGGTGGGATACTTTCCCAGTGCTAACCAGAAATTCAAATTACATCTTCAAATAGAAACAATTCTCTAACTGGTGGGTTGTGATCCCAAACCAGCCTACCTTAACAGACTCATTCCAAACAAAACACAAGGCAAGGATGTGGCCATAGCTGAAGGATGTTTAGGAAATTTCCAAAGCCTGAGAGCAGAAAAGCGATTCAGGCTGCCACACACAATTGTGTTGCACAATAACCAACCCCTACACCTAGTGGGAGCTTGGCATGCCACAAAACAGTTCTAGAATAAATAAATGTATTTATTTATTTAGTCATTCAACATTCATAATCTAGAAGATGTGAAGTTTCTATAACAAACTGAAGATACCATAAACTTGTCCTGTCCGAGAAGTTAAGGGTCTTTCTCTAGCCCTGGCACCTAAGGCCTGGTATCCTGAGTCGCGCAGAGGAAGTGTCCTTACGGGCTTTCAGGCTAAGTGGTTCCGGGAAGAGTTAGGTTTCATCGCTGTCACTGGTCGGGGTGGGTGACCTTGGGTATTGCACTAGGCAACACCCTAGGCGTCTGCCGAGATCGCTGCCAGGAGGCGGAGCCCAGCAAGTCTCCGCAATAGAAGTGCGCAGGAAGGCGGGCAGCTACCGAGTTGCTGCGAGCTAGATCCGACACGACTCAGGTAAGGATGAGGGGCTAGATCCGACACGACTAAGGGAGGGATGAGGGGCTGGCGGACGGCGCAGGCCCCAGAGCGCGGCGGAAGTGGCCTGTAGCCGCTGTGGGCCTCCACAGGCGCCGGGCCGGGGATCCGGGACTGTTGGTGCCGAGTTAGCACACTACCCCGGGGCTCCGGGGGATGTGACCCCTGTTGTGCGTGTCAAGGTGGCCAGGTGATCGGGGCGATAAAGCCATCACAGACTTGGGTTTATCTGCCTAGGACGCCACAGGGACGACCTGACCTTTCTCTGCCCTAGCACACTCCTTGTCAGGGAGTGTGGGCATCTGGCAGCTGCAGGCTGTGTGGCTAGAGAAAATCCCTACCTCCTCCTTTCCCGCCTTAATCTTCCACTCCTACTGCCTAACGGTATATAAAGGGGTCGCTGGAAATAAACGAGAGACTCCTGGATGAAGAACCTCGGCGTCCTGTGTTTTCTTTAACCTCATCGTCCCTCGCCGGACTCGGCTCCGATCAGCCGGACGCGGCACGGGACCCCGCCGCGGGGGGCTCGCGGCAGCCTCCGGGGCTCGCGCCGGCAGCCGCCAGTGCCCCCCGCGAGCTGCAAGGTCCTAGGCTTTCAAGGTTGCGGGCGGTTGCATTGTTTGGCGTGGCTCCCTTCCCCCACCCCGATCTTGAACCATAACTACCTGCCCTCATCTTTCTCAGAAGTGAAATATCGCAGTTGAGTGAAAGGAAAACGCGTTTTGAAAGAAAAGTCTCCCGTGACAGGGGACAGCTTTTCTCTGCTTCCCTAGAGATCAATTTTGAATTTTAAACAGAAGGGCAGCACCAGTTCCATATGGGTTTTATTTTTCAGGAGTGGAAGGTGAAGTTTGGCGTTACTGCTTATCAGAAACAGGCCAAGCAAACATTAGACCACAGAACAAACCTGTCTCAGATATGATAGAACAGCGCCGGCGGCCATCTTTTCCTTAGCCCCAAGCACGCGGGCGGGCGTGGCCCGTGGAGACTCACCCTGTCTGTAGCTGTGAAACTGCTGTAACTCGAGTTTCCTAGGTTCCCGGCATCCCGAGTGTAGAATGGTGATCACAGCTTCCAGCGCAGAAAACTTCCTTGGAATTTTCTCTGGCCAGCCCTTCCTGTATTTCCCAAAATTATCTCCAGCTTTTCAAAAGCATGTGACTTTCCTCAGGAGGTTAAGTGGCTCCAGCTGGGGCCTGGCTACCTATCTACTTACTCAACTGCAGTAACTGCTCGCCCGTTTTGTACAAATTAGTCCATATATTTTCCAAACTTGAGACACAGCCCACCTGCAGATGACGGTCTCCCTCTGAATTGGAACCTTGGTTCTGCTTTTTGCTGTCTGGGGAATTCTGAGCAAGTTGTTTAATATTAGTACAGTAACAAAAGCTTGTTTCGCTGAGTGTTATAAGGACAAAATGGGATAATTTATGGAAAGGGCTCAGTTTGGCATCTCATGTATATAAAGGAAAAATAGTGGCTGCTAATAATTTTGGGTACCTTTGTGACCCCCCGGGATCTATTTATCACTCTCCCTTCTGGGGGCAAGTCACCCCAGGTCTCCAGCGAAGGCACAGACCGTAGAATGTTTGAGAGGACAGCATTTCCAGAAATGTGGTTACGTACGGTGGCCAGAAATGCATGAAAACCCCAAGGCAGGTTGTCCACAGGGAGACAATTCCCGGGTATGTCTAACACCTAGAACTATTGTGTTTTCAAAGAAAAGTGTTCCATGATGCTGAGCCTTGTAAGAAAAGCATTCCAT